TGTTTTGGTTTTATTGGCTGTGGTTTAAACAGCTGCTGTATTTTAACCTTTGGTTCATTGTACAAAAGTCATGTTTCATCTATGTAAGTATTCCAGCCACTTAGTTTTGCAACTAAATTAGTACAAAGGCAAGTATGTGTGTATTAATCAAATTATCTTTTTTTTTTTTTTTAAACTAACATTTTTAGTAATGATTCTAGAATGTTGCATGGTACTTAAACTGATTTTGGAACAGAAGGACTGGGTAGCATGGAAATTATAATAATTCACAATTTAGAGGAAAAGAGTTGTAAATATTTATTTTTTAATGCAATTTTGTATTCAGCTGTAGTTAGATATAGTTCTGTTTTGCTGAGGGACATCCATGCCTTAAGAAAATGCATATGTAGGATATATTTTGCAGATTTCTCTTGCTGATTCTACTCGTTGAAAATGTTGATGCTGAAAAAGTGTTGAGATGGCTTTTATTTTGTAGTTATCTGATGATTTTGTTAAGCAAATGACCAGAACATATGAAGATCTCAGTTGCTGCTGCTTTAAACTGGAGAGTTAAAAACTTTTTTTTTTTCCACCCCCCTCTAGATTTTCAACTGAATTCTCACCTATCAACACTGGCAAATATTCACAAGATTTACCACACCCTCAATAGGCTGGTAATGACTTGCCATTTTCTCTTAGCAGAATAGCTGGGGCTTTAGTCCAGAACGTTTTGTGATTGAAATAATTGATTACACTTAAAAACTATGACTGCCTTTTTGTCTGAGAGGCTGTTGGTTTTGAACCGCTAAGAGATGAGCAGTATTAGTAAAAGTGAAAGATTATACTCTGGCAGTCGTAGTGGAGTTGGAGCACTGTTCATTCTAACTCTGGATTTAGATGTTGTCTCCATAGAAGCTTTCCTAGATATATCAAATAATGGTAATCATCATCGTTACTCAGTTTCTTACAGTTCTTGTGGAAAACGTATTGAATGAGCACGCTGTCCTCTTACAACCATGCAGAGAGTGAAACAAGATTTTTTTTTCAAGATTGTCCCTGCTTGTTTGTTGTGCATTTACATTTGTTTTATTGCAGCCATAGCAAACGTCTGTTTTTAGGGTGGAAAAGATACTGCCTAAAAAAGGGGGTTACTCATTTCCACGATTTCAGTTGGTTTTTAATGAGTTTTATTTAGAACATGTATGTGTGTTTATCCTTAGGCAAAGCCATTTCTGTGGTAAACGGTAAATTTAATCTTTCTAATTAAAGGAATTATTAATACAACAATGTGAAATTCCCCATCCAATGGATAGGTATTACCACTCCCAAAACATAGTTGGATATGTTTTCGATTAAAAAAAACTAAAATTACTTAAAGATCTTCCTTGAAATTTTAGATAAACTTGCAAGTGTAACTTTTTAGATAAATATGAACTGAAAACACAAAGGCTCTGCAGTCTTACCTAGGTGCTCCTTAAGTAATTAAGATTGATATTGATACCAAATAAGGGTTAAAAACATTACTGAACAATGAAGATCACTATCTTGTTTAACTGTGTAATTCCTACTCTCTTGCAGAATCTGACAGAGGACGTTGGTCAAGACGATCACCAGACAGGTATTTGATAGGGCTGTAGTAGAAATAGATTGAAACAATTTAAACATGCTTCATCAAAGAAGTCTCTCTAACATCATTGAAAATGGTATTTTAGAAAGGTAAAGGAGTTTTAGAAAACAAGTGCCAGGATTTTTTAAAGTTTTCTTCAAAATGAATGTTTGTACTTTTGATTTATATAGTTGTGAAGGACTCGCACAGGTTTCAGCAGTGTCTGTCATTTTACTATTTCTTAGTATAAGTACTTCAGAAGACTTCATGAAAAATTTCTCTCACTCCTTGGACTCAACCCATTAGACTGGCGTAATATCCATGTTCTTACAGTGTTTTGACTCTTGAAAGAGCATTAGTGAGAACAGAACAGAAGCAAGACCTCTTGTGGCCAATGTGATGCCTGTGACCGAGTTTAAATGCTGTGCTCCAAACAACCCAGCTTCTTTCTTGAATGGTTTTGATGCAGGCTGTTCCTGTTTCTTGTGCAGATTTCAAGTCAGGGTCTAATGGCAATTTATTAGTCCAAATCTGTTTTCAGTTCCATAAAATGTCATCGTTTTTCAAGGCCTTCATCTCAGGTGCCTGGTACTAGCTTACTACCATTCTTGATTCATCAGCATTTGTGCTTTGTGCCTTGGTATCTTGCAGCATTTGTTACCTCCTTTTGTGCTTGTTACTTATGAGCTGGGGTCTTCCATGATTTCTTCTTCCTTGATTTTTCTTTCTGTGTTTCAGGCATGATAGCTGAGGAGGAAGGAAAATAACTTACTGGCTTCAAGCCCTGATCACTCAGCAGAACTGTTCTTTAAAACTGACCATATCTGTCCTACCATCTGTCTCAAAGTTTTTCTCTATCCTGAGGTGCTGGCTATGTTTGCTGATGTTACCTTGAGCACTTAAGAAAGTGGAGGGAGCTGTCAGCTCCTGGAGATTTCTGGGACACACTTACAAATCTAGCACACTCTTAGCCTAGAGCAATGAGAGGAGGTGCATAGGACTGCATTGTTTGGGATCAGACAGAGCTCACTTAGGGCTTAGGTACCCTCCTCCATACTGCGACAGGTGGCTTTGTTTCGTAGTTGAACTATCTTACCCCAGCCACAGAAGACTTCAGTGTGGTTAGCGATTTGATACTTGAAATTAGCTGATCATGTAAATGAAAAACCTCTGCAAAAGAGGTCGACACAGGTAGTCTGAGACAGTCAGAGGTTTTATTGTCCATATGTTAGAACTGATGTCCTCTCCCATCTCCTGATGGAGACTTGGAATTTTCCCCCTTGTGATCCAGGTGCTCAAACTAAACAGAGATACGTACTGATTTCACGTATGAAAATACATTCCATAATCTTTGTTTACTTTTGATCACAAAACACTGTTGTGAAGCATTGGGATAGTCCCCTTCTGTCACTAATCAATCAATAAGACCAGGCGTGCTTAAGGTACTTGTAATTTGTCTTATCTCTTGCCTAGCATTTCTGTCACAAAGGTCAGTATAAGACATTAGACTCAGAGCTCTCATTACTTCTATTGGGAGGTGTTTGAGCATGTTACTGGTTTTGATGAACTGCTTTATACTGACACTCATGGTTATCCTATTGTCTGCACAGTGTTGTCTGAATTAAGCCTTTTCAAAAGCTTAATTGGATTGTGCCCATTAAATTAATTTGAGCAGAAAATCCCAGTAAAGAGTGTAAATTTTTTACACTAGTTGTAAAAGAACATTTCAAACCAGAAACAAGTATGACATGAGAATCAAAAGTAGAGGTTGATACTTGCAGGCTCCTCAGCTTCAGATTTCATTCCAGTATTTCTTATGCTCCTGCCCTGTTTTATGTCTCCTTGTAGAAAAAGATGAAGCCTTAATGTTTGCATAACTTCCAGGTGAATTCAGCTGAAGTATGTGCTTGGTTTCCTCATATGAGGACAAATAGACATGCCAGGAGCTATGTTAGCCATTGTGAATATAGTGCAGTGAAGTCTCCCGTGTCTGTTCTGTAGGGGACTTGACAGCTCTTACTGGAGAGCCTCATGTAATTCTAAAAATAATTACTTTTGGAAATGGTTTAATTTAAATTGTGCCTACGTTTTTGGAACTTCTATTTTCCAGTATTACTGACTGCCTATTAATTTTGTTACGCAATTTATAGAACTCTGTAGATGCTTTGAATTTGAGGTTCTATGTCCAGAACTCATTTGAAAGTCATGTTAGTAACTCTGTCACGAAAGATTCTTTGAGTGTTGCCAAACCCATCTGCAGACGATTTTCTAGTTTTGATTTGCGCCCCCCACCCCGCCCCCCGAATCTTCTGGAGCAAACCTTATCCTTAAAGATTACTATTCGTTTTCTGACATAACTCTCCTGGTTAATACTACTACATTGTGGGCCCTACTTTTGAGATGACTTAATAAATGCATATCTGAATTTGATTAAGATTTCTAAAAGCTATTTTTAAAAAAACTTGAGTATTTCAATTTTAGGTTAATATTTATAGTGAAATTCTAATGCATATCACATTTATTTCAAAGCAGTTGTTACTGAGCTAACAATAAATGTACTGGACATCTAAATTACTTGAAGCAAATTATGTCTTTTGTAAATTAGCCAAATTTCATTTCTGGAAACAGCTTAAGTATCTAAGAGCTAGAGGGTGACAGTTTCAAAATTCCTTCAGTGATTTGGTAGCTAGTGTGGACCTCACTTCAAAATTCCAGTCACCTATAATGATTGCAGTCTTGTAAAATCTGTTAGTATTCAGTATGCTTATGTAGCTGAAAAATAAGGCAGGCTGTAAATGTGTCAGTTGCCTTTTCAGCTGTTTGTAGGGGTAAGAAAAGCAGGCATTCAAATTCTGTAAACAATTTATTTTTCTTCTAGTATGTCTACGTGTTATCTTAGAAAACTCTCTAGAATTTTAAATAATAGTTGTTTTTATGTTGTAACTACAAATCTAGCAACTTGTTAATAGCTTAAAGTCATGATTTGGTTATTAAATTGTGACTCATTTACCTGTCCGGACTAAAATGTCTTTAAAAGTGAAAGTACACTTCGTGTTGTCACCTGGCTTGTTTAACAGAGCGAGGTAATGTCTTAATCAAAACCAAGGCTTTGTTGCTGTTTTTGAAGCTTGTAGTGGGGAAAAATTACTTTTGCCTCTACTATTTTGTTGTTGTTTTAGAGAAGAAAACCTTCTTGAGTCCAAATGATGTAGTGTGGAATTCAAGATAGAGAAGATGATTTTTCCTTTTGCAACAAGATTGCAAGTTGTTTGATGCTTGGATGAGCATCTTAGTTTTCTCATCTTTTATCTGAAAACTTCTGATTGTTAACTGTGTTTGTGGTAGTCTTGTTGCATCATTAAGCAAGCAGCTATATCTTTCCAATTGCTTCAGCATTCACAGTTTCTAATTATTTTTCCCTTTGAAACATCCCTCTACTTAAGCATCAGAAGAGCAGGATTATTCAGAGGCATTATCAAGAGAGAAGGTGAAAATTACATGTCTGTAAATCTGTAGGGACGCAGCTTGTAGAATTCTTATTTATTGACCTCTGTTTTTTCTTTTTTGTCTGTGCTGGTTTTGTTGCTGTTCTAGGAGTGTGTCCCTCCCTTGTGGGGATTATCTTGCGTGTTGTTTTACATTTCTTAGGGTGAATTTTAGCTCTTGAGTTGATTTTTCGCTTTGGTAGCTCCGTCTCCTGCAAATTTGGAAGTACTGAGTAGAATGTTTGGCAAACAACATTTATGCTCGGCAGGCTTTTGTCTGATGGTGGCTTATTCAGCAGCCATTTGGAGGCTCTACCTTGCAAATGCTAGCTTCAAGTGTCAAACAAACACTGAGAACTAGGAGGGTTCTGCCAATCTTGAGTTGAGACCCAGGAGTAAGAAACTTTGAAGATAATCACATCAGAGAAGCTGCACTGGGTAAGTAAAGTTCCTGTCAAACTTTGCATGAAGTCAGAGGGAGCTGCATGTTTGTTTGCAGATGATCAGACCTTTGAGAAGTGAAATCAGTTGAGAAAGGCTAGACCTGGAAATTACATTTAGAATTAGAAAGCTCTGTGTAGGAAAGGTTACTGTTGATGCTACTTAACGAGCTATACTATAAAATAAAAAATGTCAAGAATTTAAACAAAAAAACTTCAAACTGTGATAGTTTTTAGCTTTAGATGGAAATAAAAGAGAGAAATATTCTTGTGGTTTGTTACAGGGAAATTATAACTGCCCTTCAAATTCAATATACTGATTTTAATAACCAAAGGAAATACTTTTAAAGTAATGTTCTTGTACTGTGTTTTTCAGTAGTTTAGAGATCATTCAGCAGGTAAAACATAGTGAAGACTTGGTCCATACCTCAGTAATTAAGCTGTTAAACCTCTGAAAGCACGTACAATATGTTTGTCCACTTGGTGTCTGTGTGTGTGTGTTTGTGCGTGAGGGAAGTGTACATGGGCATTAATAGCCATTGAGCTATTTCTGAGCTATCTCTTTTCTTCCCTTTTCTGACAGTTTGAGAGCTGCAACTAGATACATTCAAACCAAGAAAGGGTACAAGTTTTTCATACCAGTCATTGGAGAAATTGGGTTATGGTGAATTCTATTATCAGTTTAAGCCTTTAAAACAAGTTCAGCAATCTTCTTTAAAAATATCCTATAATTTAATGAGGAAAAAACTTAAAGCAGGATTTTTAGGTTAAATTCTTTGGTTTGTATGGGGTTGCAGATCTGACAAAATTATTTTCCTGTTCTAGAACTGTTTTATTTTTACTTTTATTTATTTTTATTTATTTCATTTTCATCTTGTGCTGTGATGCTCTTTTCACAGGGGCCTTGCATATTTCTTTTCCCAATCAAGTCACTAGTAAACTGGACAAACCTTGTTGGGGGGGGTTGCTGATTTTTCTTGCATTTCACCAGCATCCAATCCTGTGGCCATCATAAATAGATTTTATTTTTTTTAAATAGAAAGGCATTTAAAAAAAATCAAATTACTCTCAAAGGAATGAGATAGCTACAGGTTGTACCCAAGTACATGCGTGTTTTCCAAAACAGGGTGTTCATTAGCACGCGTTTTCATTTATTAAGTTTAGTGTGTGTCTGAGTCTGTTGGCTGTCTCTAGCCATCTGTTAAGTTCTGGTGTCAATTTTAAGTGTTTTTAGTTTGTGTTGATTTTAAAAAAAATATTTACTGGCAGAGTCTTTGGAAACTTGATCTAAAAAGTCATAAAGCATCACACTTTCAGTAACTTATGGGAGTACGATTTTGTGGTACCCTTAATTTGCAGGCATAATCGAGTGGAACAAATGATGTTCAGCAGGTCAGGTTCCTTAGTTTCTTTAATCTGGGTAGTAAAATGCATCGGATGTCCTGTGAGTTTTTGATGATCTCCAGCTTACCTGTTTCAAATATATCTGATTCTGGTGAGAAGAAGATAAATATTATTATTGTTAATTTCTTTTTGTAAGATATTCTGGACAGTGCTTGTAGAAGTATATTCATCTTACACAGCTATTACAATTTTTTTCATGTGATAGTTAATAGAGCATAATGCTTGGGAGTATTTTTGATAACTAGTTAAATTATAATTTGAATTTACAATAGTTCTAAAACTTTCTTTCTAAAAGAAAGTGTAGGTATGGCTATACATTCCTGGGAGGATACTGGGGTGAGGAAACTTCAGGGTTAAAAAAATAAAAAAAAATATATATAGGAAGTATCTTTGAATTGGAAAGAGTATTTCTTGAACTAGAGAGGCTGATACTCTTCTTGATAGAAATGAATATAAAGGTAAGACCAAAGAAGGCATGCTAAGTGCAAAAGTTTTATTAGTTGAAACCAGATTAGTTCATCTGATGTAAAAACTGGTTTGAACATCTTGCCTAATACTAGAAAAATACATACTTTCATATGCATAATAGTTTCAGTGCATGTTTAAAATAAAGTACATGTAGCAAAGCCTGTGAGGCTCTAAGGTTCCTTACATGTGTTTCTCCTATAACAGGAGAGAGACTTTCAAAGATACGAAGAATAGGTAAGCAAAAGATTGCTGTTAGTGTTTGTTGGGAATTGGGCCTCTGATTTCAGTCTGCTCCCTTGGTGTCAAAAAGTAGTCAGAATTTTATTGCTTGCTTCTGTGCTATGATTTAAAATAAAAAATTCCGTGGGCATCTTAATAAAGCATAGCTAAACTTGGATGCTGTTGAAGCTTAGTGAAGGTAGCTTAGGCATGCTGGACTTTCTTCATATTTTCTTGCAAGTTTCTTTGGCATCACTTCATGTCTGGATTTTTATACCTCACCTCTCTCTTCCTTTCCTTTTAAAATTCTCTGCGTAACACTTGGAGCTTCAATAGCTCTTTGAGCTGCCCTTACACACACCTTTCTCAGTTGTCCATGTGGTCTTCAGTAAATAAAGTAGGACAAAATTTTGCCTGGAGTGTTAGCCTGCTCTTTTCATGAGACAGCAAAGGCAATTTAACAACTTGCTGTGGTCAAAAGGGTTGGTCCTGTGCTCTTTCTTGTGCTAATGTACAAAAAGTTGTTACTGCTTTTTGCTTTGGTTAATTATCTACAGGTTTGGTGAGCTGGATTGGCACACTGAAGAGTCACCAGAGACAGGAGTATGTAGCTGAGAGAAGGGGAGGGAAAGACTGCCACTTGATTGGTGTCAGTGTCTTGAATTGGCTGTTTCCTCCTTGGGGACCTTCATTCTTTGAGAACTATCCAGTCCAAATGATACAGCCAGCAACTTATTTTTCCCCTAGTGGTTGCTGAACGTCTCTTCCCCTGCCTCCCCCCTCCCCCCCCAAAAAAAATCAAAAAAACAAAACCAAAGAACAAACAAACCCTACCCCTTGCTCTCTGTATCACCAAAAACTTGGGGCTTAAAAATTAAAAGGTTCTATTATCTAGAGGTAGGTGCTCTAGTTTTTGAGTCACATCTGTATTTCAGAATGTAATGAACAACTCTTAGAAGTTCTGATTTGAATAAATGACTAAATATAAGGATGCCCTTTTGAGGACTTAAATACTTCAGAATGGTCTCAGTTCTTGCCTTTTGTTAGACTGAAGTAGCACTGGCACTACTGTACATTTTGGTTTAGTACTTTTGGCCATAACTGAAATCTGGTCATAGAACACCATGAAAAAAGTGAGACGGATTTTCCTGTTGAAAGGGGACCTTTTATTTTGTAATTTTTAAATCCACTAACTTCCTCCCTTTCCTTTGTAATATGCCTATCAGTGGACACAGTTTAACTGGTCAGTTTCATTTCTTGTACTGGTGTTTTTTAATTCCCTCTGTAGGTAGTCTCCGGTCTTGCAGTTCATCAGACTGCTTTAGTAAAGTGATGCCTCCAAGGAAAAAGAGGAGACCTGCAGCAGGAGATGATTTATCTGCTAAGAAAAGTAGACATGATGGGTATGTCATCTTACCATGAGCTAAGCCTGATGGAATATCTAAAGTTGAATAGCCGATATGACCGTGTTTTTAAGTACTGATGGAAATGGTATTCAAATTTGCTTGATTTCTCAATGTGGAACCACAGCTTGTGATTGAACTGTGGGGTATTGATAAGCACATCTAGGTTCAGTTTGCATCTCACCTTTCCTAGTTACACAAGAAGCTTGCAGGGAACTTCCCCTTGCTCTAGTTTGGCAGCTGTCAAAATAGACATACTTGTTTTTTCAAAAACAACTTCTAAGAGCTACAGTAACGTTTTCCTGTATACATGTGTAAGGTCTGGATTGGGCACTCTCAATCTACAGCCTGTCAGAAAAGCGAATGTAGTTGTAGCCCACTCAGCTCTTACTTGAAGTCCTGCTAGTCTCTC